TATACATATATATATACACGTACATATACATATATATATACACGTACATATACATATATATATACACGTATATATACATATCTATATACACGTATATATACATATCTATATACACGTATATATACATATATATATACATATACATATATATACATATATATACACCAAATGTTACAATTTTCAAGAAACTTCCAAGTAAAAATAGACAAACTTACTTGCATTGCCACCTTTACTCCCCTGGCCGAGTCAGGGGTGTGAACTTCCCTCGGCGGTATTCTCAGTGCTTCATTTTCCTTCTCCTCCTCCTTCCCGAATTCCGGCTTTGGCGACCCCCTCTCCAAACTGTACGACTTCCTGATGGATTCGGGCGAGAGAGATAGAAACACCTTCCTGTTCATCTCCGGAGTCCCAGTGACCCTACTCGGAGACCTGGGCGGTTCCCTGGCTTTCCTGAAGGAATCAACCCGTCCAGGCCTTTGAGCAGAGTCAGGACGAAATGTATTGCCTTCCTTTAAATCACTAGGATAGACGGCTTGACTTCTCACTTCCTGTGCACTTTGTTCCCTTGTATGGATTAGATCATTAAAATCACTTTTCACCTTATTATTAATACTGTCTTTGGCTGGAGATTCACTCACACTAGGCATTGCAACTCCTGCCTTTAAGTTTTGTTTACTCCCTTGCTCATCTGTCTTGCTTTCTGTTGATGAAACTTGTGGGGGAATGAACTTCCTTGGCAGGGCCACTGGAGGGTCTTTTGCATCCATCCCATCTTGCCGACGGAGGGAAGCTTTCCTTTGGTTTTCAGACAGAGTCAAGGTATCAGAACTTTTCAAGCTTCTATCGTAGTCCTGACCAAGTCTTTTCACATTTGGACCAGTAAGTGGTAATGCAGGTTTTGCTTTCTTCACTTCCTGCAACTTAATATCTATTGGTCCCTCAAGTTTCCCCAGATTTTCAGAACTGGAGCCAAATGGATCATGTTTGTGTTTACGCTGCTTTGGGGGAAGTTTTGGTGGCACGTCCAGAATAATGGCAGTATCTTGGGTCTCGGCTTTTTTGAAAGGCCGAAAATTTTCCGGCAATCTTTCTTCCACAGCCCATGACCTCCTCCTGTTCCCAGGGTCTTTTGATATTCTTGGCTTTCTGCTTTTGTCTAAAGAGCCTTGCTTCATTTCACTGAATGCAAGATCCTTTTGAAATAATCTGAAATCTACCGAGTTAGATCTATGACGGTGACTTAGCTGATTGCTCTTGAAAAAAAAATCCCTACCATAGTAACGTCCATCAAGTTCTTCGCTGCTAGCTGCCTTTGGCTGGCTCACATCAAGCACGGATCTACTCCTTTCCCCAGACATCAGTTCATCATGTGAAGCTGCTTTTATTGCTTGCTTCCTTGCATGGAGCTGCGTGAGAGACTCCATGCTACATCTGCTACTGTCATTGAGACTTGACTTGGAGGTGTGAGAAGAGGAGGACTCATGGCCACCCTGGGGAAAGCCTCTTGAGTATGCTGTGGGAGATGGTAACTCATTGCTGCCACTCCTGTGTGGTAGCCCTTTTGGAGGAACAATTGGGGATTCACTTTTGAAGGAGGACAGACCAACTGGTCTGCTTGGATAGGGATCATTTCTCTCTTTTGTTACCCTACTTGGTTCTATCTTTGTCATATAACTTTGACTAGCATTGGGAGTTGTGGATGAGGGTATTTCAGTAAATGATGGTGAAGGAATGTTATCATTTGATATCTGTGGCATACCATGACTTTGACCACCAGACTCTTCTTGTTTTGATTTCTGCTGCAGACGCCCTTGCCTGGACACCTGCTTCATTTGTTCGTATGACACTGTGGTTAGCTGGAGGTACTGTTTTGGCGCAAAGAAAGGTCGTTGTTCTCCGTGTCTGATTACCTGAAGGAGAATAAGATATTCAAAATACATAGTCTTAAGGAAAAGGATCACAAATAACAGATACTCCTTCCATTCACATGCAATACAAATCCATTCACATATAGGAATAAAATCAATAGCAAATCAAAAATATCTTTAAAACAAATATGCAAATCTTAAAAATAAAAGTCAATGTAACAAATCAAAGGCAGACTATATGACAAACAATTCATCAACACTAGCTATCACAAACAAGACAATCTCAAGGCGGGGACCAACCTGCCACCAATCAGGAGTCGCACGTTTGATGAGCATGAAAATTTCTCCCTTTGTCATAGAAAGGGTGCGGTCCTCCCATTGGTAAGAGTAGTCATGCATGGCCTCCACAAACTCCTCATTCTCAACCCCCTTCATGCTGCCCTCTGTCATGTCACCTGTGGGATGCACATCATTCCCTTTACAATCAGCTCCAGAGTGCAAAAGTCTAAAATCAAATCTTGCCTCCTCTTATTTAGCTATGGCAATGCTTACAATGGCCATATTTCTATACTTACCTAACAGCAAAAGCAATCTATATAAATTTTCATCCAAAGAAAATACTTCTTCCCTATTAAGCCACAAGAACTTGAAGCACTTTTTTTGTAACACTACCAACCAAGAGTAACAAAGAGCTTCATAAAATCAACTACATCACAGACTTAGATATTCAGTACTCAGGGTAAATCAAATCCCTAGTATGATTACCATCATAACTATTTTTTTGTGTTTTTTTCCTCACAATACATCTACGGACAATGAAATATTGGACAATATGCAGTATAAGGTAGTGGCAGAGTTGGGTAATAAAACCTACATGAAATGATTGAACAATACAAACCAAGACAAAGTTCTTCTATAGCAATATGTGTGCATATGCTTCAAGGGTGCTAGGTATATATATCACCATGGGGGTCCAGGGGGCAAAGCCCCCTGGCTAGGGAATATATACCACGATGTTGGGTTAGGTTGGATGTTGGGTTAGGTCGCCCATTTGCACAAGGAACAATGCCAAGAATCGTTGAAAGCAGTGGATTTCGTGCAGAAAAATATCAAAATTGTTTCGAAAGTAACCCATCTTCTTCCCTTTTCTTTTCGTACAGCACTGAAAGCATTTGCACACACATTGCCCTAGAAGAACTTTGTCTTGGTTTGTATTGTTCTATCATTTCATGTAGGTTTTATTACCCAACTCTGCCACTACCTTATACTACATATTGACCGAAATATTCAATGACTTTCCTAAACTCAGTACTATACCTGTTTTATGTCACTGCTTCAAGTCCATTCAATCTTTTGACATGAATAGTAACAAATTCCCTTCCCATCCTATCTCTAGCTACTACAACCCTCAACCATGATGGCGGGCTAATTGGGTTATCAGATCTAACCAGCATTACAGCAATTTCAAAACGTGACGCACTTTGACTTATATTTGTATGGTAAGGTGCACAAAAACAAAAGCAAACAAACAATTCTGTGTCAAACAATCATGCAAACAAGTGCACAGTATCACAGGAGGAAGATTCAAAGTGCGGAAAATAAGCTAGTTCTGCAGTCAAGTCAATTTGCTGGGAATTGAAGAAAAAAGGGGAGAGAGGGAAAATAATATATCTTAGAAGACAGCTTTATATCGAACTGGCGAAGAAAAACAAAATCTATCTAGAAAAGGGCGTGGAGACCCTCCGGATGACTTATTGTCAAATGAGGAACCAGCTCAAGCTCCAGCTCGACAGAATATATACAACGGCCTTTGATGATTATCTGGGTACTGAGTATAGCCCTTCTATTGCAGATTACAGCCAGTTTTGGGTGGATTCAGACAGATCACAACCAATGTCATTTTGATTGGAAAACAAAAATGTTCTGATAGTTTTAGCCAGTGTCTTCAGATATGTAGGAAGAAATATGGTAGCAAATGAGGAAAGAAAACTAATCAGCTGAGAAATTTTGCAAGAAATATCAGTAAAATTATAGAAGGAAATTGGGAGGACAAAAGAAATTTAGATTAATGTATCAACAAGGAAGAGCAAGAGAAGGAAAACTTTAAAAGTGAATATAACACAACACAAATTACAGAATATGGGAGGAAAAAAAGAAAGGAAAGAAAATCAGTGATAAAATAAAGGAAAACAACGAACATCCTAAGATAACAAGACCACTTAAGAAACAGTAAACAAACAAATGCCAGCACATTGGAATGCACACTTGTAAGTGAAAATACATTCACATTTCTGAATACATACACACAAGATGCATGATCACAAAGCACAATTCAGCATAAACCCTAAAAATCAAAATAATATGCAGTCAGGGCCAAAAAATTATCAAAACAGACTTCAAAATTAACACGAACGAAAGTACGAAATGTAGAACACACAAAATTGATAAGATATATATAATAAGACAAGTTCTAAATTGATTAAAATTAAAAATTGATAAGATATATATAAAATGACAAAAAAAAAGTTCTTCAACACACTGCAATACCGTGAGTTTCACATGAAGAACAGGTCACACGCCTTCCTCTGGGCCATTTAGGACCACAAATTCACTATCTCCTTCACGATAAGAAACCCCCGATGCGTCTTCCTCTCTCTCTTTCTCCTTCCTTTCTCTCGTATTTTCCCCCGTGTCTATTTATCCCCATTTATCAATTATTTACGCATTTTCCCCCCGTTGTCTATTTATCTCCATTTATCTATTATTTCCAAGTTCTGGCCACATATCACGGGATATTTTCGGGGGAGGTCTTGAGAAGAGAGAGAGAGAGAGAGAGAGAGAGAGAAGAGAGAAGAGGGAGAAGAGGAAGAAAGAGAGAGAAAGAAAGAGAGGAGAAAAAAGGCAAATCAGACGTTGACATTTTATATCAATGAGACTCTTAAGGTTTTTTTTTTTCTCTGGCGTAAAAAAAAGGGGCGAAGATGTGACTTTCCTCCAGTCTCTCTCACTTAACACCTTGTCCCTTCGTTCCCCTCGGTGAAAACTCGCCTGTATGCTCATTTCTCAGTCCAGAAGCGCGGATTTCCTCATGTAAACAGGACGGAGACTCGGGTCGTGCGGCCTCCCTCCCAC